CATCTCAGTTGTCCTCGTTTTTCAAGGACCATAACTTCCCCCCCCTCGGTGGTCGAGAACGCCCTCAACCGTGTCTCCCACATCTCCCGCACCTCATCCCTCACACCCCGTCCACGCAATAAGAACCAAAAAAGAATCCCCCTCGTCCTCACGTACCACGCCACCAACCTCCGGATCCAACGCATCATCCTCCGACACTTCCGCCATCTGCAATCCGACCCCACCACCAAAGACATCTTTCCCTCCCCACCCTTATCTGCTTTCCAGAGGGACAACTCTCTCCGTGACTCCCTTGTCCGCTCCACACTCCCCTCCAGCTCCACCACACCCGGCACTTTTCCCTGCAACCGCAGGAAGTGCTACACCTGCCCCCATACCTCCTCCCTCACCCCCATCCCAGGCCCCAAGAAGACTTTCCACATCAAGCAGATGTTCACCTGCACATCTGCCAATGTGGTATACTGCATCCGCTGTACCCGGTGTGGCTTCCTCTACATCGGGGAAACCAAGCGGAGGTTCGGGGACCGCTTTGCAGAACACCTACGCTCGGTTCGCAATAAACAACTGCACCTCCCAGTCGCGAACCATTTCAACTCCCCCTCCCATTCCTCAGACGACATGTCCATCCTGGGCCTCCTGCAGTGCCACAACCATGCCACCCGAAGGTTGCAGGAACAGCAACTCATATTCCGCTTGGGAACCCTGCAGCCCAATGGTATCAATGTGGATTTCACAAGTTTCAAGATCTCCCCTCCCCCTACCGCATCCCAAAACCAGTCCAGCTCGTCCCTGCCTCCTTAACCTGTTCTTCCTCCCACCTATCCCCTCCTCCCACCTCAAGCCGCACCTCCATCTCCTACCGACCAACCTCATCCCGCCCCCTTGACCTGTCCGTCCTCCCTGGACTGACCTATCCCCTTCCTAACTCCCTTCCTACACTCACCTTTACTGGCCCCATCCCCGCCTCTTCGACCTGTTTGTTTCCTCTCCACCTATCCTCTCCTCTATCCCTCTTCTATCCGCCTCCCACTCTCTCCCTATTTATTTCGGAACCCCCTTCCCCTCCCCCTTTTCTGATGAAGGGTCTCGGCCCGAAACGTCAGCCTCTCTGCTCCTAACTTCGAAAATTGTTCAGGATTTGTCATGTGGACAAAAAGCAGGACTAATCAACACACTCAATTACTGCCCCATCAGTCTAGTCAATTATCAGAAAAGATGATAGAAGATGTCATAAACAATGCTATCACGCAGCACCTGCTCAGCAATAATCTGCTTACTGACAGCAAAACTGGGTTCTACCATGAGCACTCAGCTCCTGACCTCATTACAACCTTGGTGGAAACCAGTCCAAAAGAGCTGAATTTCACAGGTGAAATGAGAGTGATTGCACTTGACATCAAGGCTGGATTTGACAAAATGTGGCATCCAGGAGCTCTAGCAAAGTCACGAGTCAACAAAAATCGGGGTGAACTCTCCACTGGTTGGAATCATACCTAGTACATGAGAAGACGGTTACGATTATTAGAAGTCAAGCATTTCAACTCCAGGACATTTCTACAGGAGTTCTTCAGGATTCTGTCCTCGGCCCAGCCATCTTCAGCTACTTCAATGATCTTCCTTCCATAAGGTCAGAGGTGGGGATGTTCACCAATGATTGCATAATGTTCAACACCTTTCGCAACTCCTCAAATACTTAAACTGTCTGTGTCTTAATGCAGCAAGATCTGGATAATGTCCAGGCTTGGGCTAACAAGTGACAAATCATATATGCGCCACACAAATACTAGGCAATGACCATTTCACCAGTACCTGAACATTCAATGGCATTACCATCACCGAATCTGCCACTATCAACATCCTTGGGGTTACCATTGATCAGAATCTGAACTAGACTGGCCATTTAAACACAGTGGGTAGAAGAGCAGATCAGAGGTTAGGAATACTGCAGCGAGTAACTCACCTCCTGATTTCCCAAACCTGTCCACCATCCACAAAGCATAAGTCAGGGGTGTAATGGAATACTCCCCAGTTGCCTGGATGGCTACAGATCCAATGACATTCATGAAGCTTTAAAAAAAAAGTTGTCATAGTCTTACCAGGCTGTAGAGAGATGACTGATGGTGGTTTGACCTGACAGTCACCATCCTCAGGTGACATGAGAAGTTGCAAAGCGGTATGTGTACTATCCAGAAGATGCACTACAGAAAGTCAAAGATTCTTAGCCAGCACCTTCTATGGCCAAAACCACAATTTAGAAGGACAAGGAAAGCAGGTACATTGGGAACACCATCACCTTCAAGATCTCCTTCAAGCCACTCTGACTTGGAAACATGCATTGCTCCTTCAGTGCGCTGGAATTGCCCTTCCAACAGTGTTATGGATCTACCTATAGCATATGGACTGCCATGGTTCAAGAAGGCAGCTCACTACCACCTTCTCAAGGGCAAGTTCAGATCAGCAATAAACGCTGGTCCAGCCAGCAACACCAATCATTGTGTCATCTATAGTTGAGAATGTTAATATGGTTTTGCTCCAACATTTATTATGTGAGAATGTTCAGGTCCAACAGTCCAAGAAAGGTAAAAAGAAATGAGAAACCATTCTCTCTACCTCCCGAACACCAATCCCCCAAGCCACCAAATCAGTCTTCCTCTCTCCTCAACTTCTACATCTCCGCAATTTCAGGATACTCAATTTCAGAAGCTTCCTTGTAAACTACCACCATCAGCCATCCATCTGACCAGCAGTTCACAGCTTTTGTGAAATTGATATCTTTATCCAAATTTCATAACAGTAGAGGAGACACCCTTTGCTCCATGATAAAGCCATGAAAGCATTCAATCTCAGCAACATAATTGTTTCTTTGGCACTATTCATATTAAATAAGAAGACCTCCATTGCACATGTGATTTGCACTCGTTTTCATATACTTTTTGTGTGTTTATGTTGTGAACGTTTAAAACTGTTCATAATTGGTAAACTGCAAACATCCATGATTTCATGGTTTGGACCTGTTCTAAATGTTAGAAATTTTGAACTGAGAGGGTGTTTGATTTTTCAGAGTGTCTGGTTGTATAGGGTTTCACTGTACAAAATTTGTTTTTAAGCACCTACCTTCCAGTGACTCTATGCCAGTAGCTTGAGCGAGAAGATTTTCATGTCTTGCAACAACCTGCAAAAACAAATAATGTTACAACACAGAGACAGACCACCAAATCAAATGACTCTCCCTATCCCTGTATTTGCGACACAGTAAAATTAAAATACTTAATGGCCTTTAAAAATTTACCCCAAGGGTTCCTAACCAGAGCTTTCAAATAACTAGTACCAGAGACTTGGGAAATAACCAATACCAGACACCAGGTTTATAGCTTAAATAAAGATATAATAATTTTTTAATAATAGTGACTTTACAGAGCAAAGTTAAACAACAAGGTAATCGAATTAATGTCTATGATTTAAACCCAATCTTGTGATTCTAGCCACCCCCACTATCAAAGACAGACAAACAGACTTAGTTCTGGGTGATGCCTATTGTTGTTCTACAACATGCCCTAAATAGGGGAGGCGATGGTCTAGTGGTAATACCACAAGATTATTAATCCAGAAATTCAGCTAATATTTTGGGAATCTGGGTTCAAATGCCGCCCTGGCAGATGGTGTAATTTGAATTCAATTTTTTTTAAGAACCTGATTACCATAAAACCATTGTTGATTTCAGGAAAAGCCTATCTGGCTCACTAATGTCCTTCAGGGAAGGAAATTTGCCATCCTCACCTGGTCTGGCCCACATGTGACTCCAGAGACACAGAAATGTGATTGACTGTCAACTGCCTTCTGAAATGGCCTAGCATACCACTCAGTTGTATTAATTGCTACAAAGTCTCAACAAAGTAATGAAACCAGATGGACCACCTGGCATTGACCTAGGCACCAGAAAAGCAATGACAAACAGACGGACGCTGGATCAAAGTCCTGGAATTCCCTCTCTAAGGGTATTATGGGTCAACCGACAGCACATGGACTGCATTGTTTCAAGAAGGCCACCTGCTCAAGGGCACTTAGGGATGGGCAATAATTGCGAGCCAGCTCCATCCCACAAATGACCAAAACTAAAGTCACCTTGGCTTTTGCAAATATACTTTTTGCTAGATTTAACACCAACCCTGGCTAACTGTAATTGTGTAAACAAGTTTTCTAACTGCTCTATATGTTCTATCTATATAGTACTATGATGTCATGCAACAAATCTACACATTTAGGTACTTCAGCTATAACTGTATTCATTAATTGTTGAAATGTGGCTGCAGTATTCTTAAATTCAAATGGCATAACCCAAAATTGGTGGAATTCATGAGGTGTGACAAACACAGAAAGTTCCTTAGTTCCCGCTGTCAACAAAGCCTGCCAATATCTTTTTAACAAATCAATTTTAGACAAGATGAACAACCAACTCTATCAATGCAATCTTCTAGTCTGGGAATCTGGTATGAATCTGTCTTTGTGATTGCATTTAGTTTCCTGTAGTCTGCACATAATCTAATTGAACAGTTTGGAATAGCTGGTCCATTCCAGAGATTGAGTTTTAAGACCCTATTATTAGCATAGCTAAAGGAAAGGCTGCTTGCCTTATGTCTAACCTCCAAATACATTCATCTTTCATGTTGACAATGAGCACCAGGAGTTGAAAAGTAGCAACTCTCAAGCGCTAATATCATCATGATTGGCATAAATATGTATAAGTATTTTAAAATTATACATTTACAGATAAAACAATGTCCACTTAAAAATCCTTCTGCAAGATGAAAGAAACAAAAATTTAAAACTCAATATTGTCTAACAGAAGACCAAAGTTACCCCTTCACGTCTCCGAGGGGGACATTTGGTCGAGTCATTGTCTTTGCACTTTGGCACCCAGAATCTAGTTCAGACCACCTCCGCAATTACTTTCCTCTCCAAAAAGAACAAGTAGAAGGAATACAATACTTGCTTTTATTCTCCTCAAAATAAAACCCTTTTCTAAGAACCATAAGAGCAGCAACATTAACATTTTGAACAAGTATTGATTTTCATAGCATAATTCAAGGAGAACAATCTCCTGAATTTCAGAAATAAACTCATAAGCAGAAACAGTCCTTTTTATTTCAGCATGATGAAATAATGCAATTTCCTGAACACTTGATGGATACAAACCGCAAAAGGAGAGCACTGCAGTGACATGGAAGACAGTGATAGGGATGCTTTTTACGACATAAACTTTTCCATGCTGTTGGGATTAGTAAATACATGGCATACACCATCATTCTTGTGCAAAATATTCACCATTTCACGGATGAGCTATATTTAGCATGATACAATGCCAGTGAAGCCAACAGTTTCAATATCATTTCTAGCAGAGCTCATCAGTTCTGCCTTACTTCTTAAAACACTCAGATACAGCAGTCACATAGTAACAAGATCTCTTCTTCTTACCTGTATATGAAGTTCTTTATCAAGTTGACTAATTCCTTGGGCAAGTTTTGCTAATTGTTCAACTATAACTGCTTGATGAATGGATTGAGCAGTATAGGTCTTCACATCAAACCCTTCTTTCAAGAAGTCCGAATAGCATTCTGAAAAAGGTTAAATTTTTATAAATATTTCATTAAATAATTAAATCAAAATTAAAATGACATTGCCAACATGTGCATCAACATTAATTTAGGCCAGAGTACCAGTACAGATGAGCATACATAGATTGCGAACACAGAATTCTGCCCTTGTGCAATGTGATTCTTCAATAACTTTTCATTGTTTAGTTAATATTGTACACTGTCTATGTCAATTCGATCTTTCATACCTACAAATTGCCATTTAAACCAGAAGAGCAGAGACAAATTGTGGAAATATAGTAGAATACAGATAGACAAATGCACTCATTCTATTCTTCCCAGAGTGTTCACTTTTCTTCTTCACATAATCAAAAAATTTATTCTTGTACAGTATATTTCTAATTCTTGAACCTTTCATAGATCTAGTACGATAAGGAAACAACGAGTCAAACTCCAAAATTCCAGTACTCATTTGCTATAGGTTGCACTTGACTGTCTCTCGTTGCAATCCAAGCCTCAATACCAAGGAAATCTCCCTGCTCTAATCTTCACTCAAATATTAGAGTCTCCCAGCGACATAAATTGGTTAGGACAAAAAAAAACTGCAGATGCTGGAATTCAAGGTAGACAAACAGGAGTTTGAAAGAACACAGCTAGCCAGGCAGCATCTGAAGGAAAGGTGCAGTCAACGTTTCGGGTATTACCCTCCTTCAGGACCGGATGTGGTGGTAGGCAGAGCTGCAGATAAAGAGAGGTGGGGAGGAGTGAAGGCAGAATGGTGGTGATAGGTGATAGGTGATAGGTAACCACTGCCAGTGTTCACCTGAAATATTAAGCAAAAGTTTAAAACTAAACTATAAAACATCTGAAGGGTGATGTATTTCTAAACAGGAAGAACTTATTCCAGTGTTCTACTTGGCTGTCAGAACATGAGTTGTTTAGATACTATGCTCTGCGTAGAAGCAAGAAGAACTCTCGTGATACATCTTTCCCAAAGGGACCTTGTCAACATTGGTTGGAAACGCCAGCAACGAAACATCAAATAAAAGCAAATGTGGAAAAGTATTTGCAAACATTTCTAATGTTCATAATTAGTGCTAGGAATAAACATAATGATTTTAGCAGTGATTTTTTTAAAAGTGTATTTAAAATTTGTAAATGTTCCCATCCGCTAGGTGAATCATAATGATTTCTACGATAACTCAATCTAGCAATCTCAATGTCAACTGAGTAGTAGCTATTTGAAGAAACGGACATTCCTTGTAAAGTGATATTGTGGGCGTAGATTAAATGCAACACTTCTCACCGTAAGTAATATTCAAAATAAAAGTAGACATTTCCATCATACGTGGATTCCTTCAGGGTTACAGCAAACTGCAGTAAGGGCTGATCTGATGCCACATAATTATTTGCACTCTTCACCTGCTCCATCCAGTAACAATTTATAATGCATGATTATACCATTCACTTTGTAAAGTATGGTCACAAAACTAACATGATTTAAAAACATTGGAGCTTCAGCTGGAAACAAAATGGAGTCCAAAGTATAAAAGCCAGATGTTCGCGCTTTGATGGGTTGACAAGTTACAGTCAACATTCACCACCCCATAATAATGTGGTTTACTAACTCCGACTGACCACCCTTACCATCCAGAAGCAATTCCTTGACCGAGTCCCGTACAGGGTAACTTCCATTTCCTTCCATGTTGGCGGAGCCTGACAGACGCTCACGCATGCGATCTACTAATCTGCTGAGCCAAGCGCCGCGAGCAAAGGGTTAACCGTTTGGTTTGAGGCCTGCGGATAGGCGGCAGGGGGACACCGACAACCAATCACTGGTGAGTTTGCAGGATCGGCAGCCGGCCATTGGTGCGCCTGATGCACAAGTTGCCAATCATCGGTAGGCCTTGTGCACCGGCAGCCAATCATTAATGGGCTTGCTGCACCGGCAGCCAATCATCGGAGACATCAAGGGATTCGGCGAATCCGCAGCCAATGGGCTGTAAATGAGGCTCTAGGCTTGGAGAGAGCCGACAGCGCGTTCCATATGAACGCGGTGGAGGTCAGAGGTCAGGTGTAAGAGGTGAGAATTGCATTTGTGGGTTCAGGCCTCCAAATGTGGATTCCAATCGTAAACAGTTGATGGTTTTAATTTCCCCGTCGCTCAAGTCCTTTAGCCTAGTTACACCCCATTCTGTGGCGAGTAATTTCCATGAACGGTGAATACTTCTCCTCTGGATCCTGGCAACGAAGATGCCTGGTCGATTTGTTCCAGCCCGGTCACGTTGTGAAGATTTGTGCCCCTATGGTACGATATTCAAAGTGAGTGATATAATTGTCTCGTGGCAACAATGTTTCATCATTCATTATAAACCTTTGTTTGTCTTAAGAACTCAAAAGATGTTTCTGCCATTACTGTTCAGGTTGGCATTTCGATCACTTGTCAGAAAGTATGACTGTGAGCTGTGTTTTACCCCAATGATCGTTGCTTCTGCCTTCCTGAGATCCGGCAAGGCCAGAGATAGTGAATTTACAACAAATTGTGGTAATGTATATCTTTGAATTGCAGCTGTTTTACGTATGATCAATGCTATAACAAGCTAATCAACACTCTCTCTAGCTTTTCAAAAATAAGGTTTTCTCTCCAATTCCAGCTTGCTGAATATGCCTTTTGATCAAAAGTGTTGGTTGTTTGATTTTCGCCACTGAATACAATGTAGTATGTATCTTAAAAATTATTTTAAAGGAGTCGGAAATATATTTATAGAGCTTAAAAGCTTACTTATTTTTTCTCATTAATATTGTACACTAAGTTTAATTGTACCAAAACAAATTGTTGGACAATCTCAGCAGATCTGGCAGCATCTGTGAAGAGAACATGCATTGTCTGACCTAAAATGTCACCTCTTCTTTACACTGTTAAAACCTTTATTTCTCTCAGGATTGTGACTTGAAAGGAATTCAGGGATTTACATATACATATTAATCAATTAAAACTTTCTAACTGATTAAAGATTTAACAGCATCTTAAGTTTGTTTAGTACATCCTCAACAATGGTGTGAAACTTTGATCTTTTACTATTAAATTCTGTGTCTGATTCTACCTCTCTCACTAACACCTGAAGAAGGACCAAGGCTCCGAAAGCTTGTGTTTTCAAATAAACCTGTTGGACTATAACCTGGGGTCATGTGATTTCTGACCTTGTCCACTCCACTCTAACACCAGCACCTCCACATCTGTGAAGAGAAAGCAGAGCTAACAGTCCCCGTCCAGTGACCCTTCAGAATCCTCTGAATTCTGAAGAAGGGTCACTGGACCCAAACCATTCATTCTGCTTTATCACCACAGATTTTTTCAGACCTCTTGAGTTTCTCTAGTGAATTCTATTTTGTTTCAGATTTCCAGGACCTGCAGTTCTTTGTTTCATTTAAGTTTGGTTGCGCATTGTGCATGAAAATAGGACTTGAACTACAGCTGCTGGTATTTACTCGAGCT